GGTGGGTGGCCGTGAATGTGAGTTTCCCTGTGGACGACGATTCAACCCCGGCTGCTAGGTTGGGCAATTGACGGGATGAGGTAAGGGTGTAGCTCACAGAAGGAGGTCGTTAACAAATTTGGGTAAGTCACCTTCAACACAGCCTAAGAAGAACTGACCAGTAGTAACTCTGGGTAATACTCAAGTGTAAGTTAGTTCATTATACCCCTTAGAGGAGAGGCTGCAGTGGGGTTTAGCCATAACTCAGGTGGTAACTCTGCTGGATAGAATGACAAGCCTGAGCTGGTGTGTGAGGTTGAGAGGTTCCGGCTAGAAATGGTTGGACTCACCTCGACACATGGCTCTGGCTCTGTAACCAGTTTCCTTGAGAGGGTTTGGACACCCCTCCACTCTGGAGTTGCCCCGGCAAGAGGTGCCAAGCAGAAGTGGGCATACTTGTTGCCCCCCATTTTGGTGCCTGAACGTTGGGGTTCATCCCGTTGAACGAGAGGGTAGCCTCACTCTGCCAACATGTGAGGGGATGGGATCTGACTGTTGTTTGTGCTTATGTGCCAAACAGCAGTTCAGATTACCAACCCTTTTTGGAGTCCTTGGAGGAAGTACTGGAGAGTGCACCTCCTGAGTACTTCCTTGTTCTGCTGGGGGACTTCAACGCTCACGTGGGCAATGACAGTGAGACCTGGAGGGGTGTGGTTGGGAAAAACGGTCCCCCTTATCTGAACCAGAGTGGTGTTCTGTTATTGGACTTCTGTGATTGTCAGGGATTGTCCATAACGAATACCATGTTCAAGCATAAGGGTATCAATATGTACTCTTGGCACCTGGACACCCTAGGCCGCAGTTTGATGATTGGCTGTTTTGTCGTCTCATCTGATCTGCGGTTGCATGTTTTGGACACTCGGGTGAAGAGAAGGGCAGAGCTGTCCACTGACTACTACCTGGTGGTGAGTTGGCTCCAATGGTGGGGGAGGATGCCAGTCAGACCTGGCAGACCCAAACGTATTGTGAGGGTTTGCTGGGAACATCTGGCAGAGTCTCTTGTGAGACGTAGCTTTAAATCCCGCCCCCAAGAGAGCTTTGAACACGTCCTGGGGGAGGTGGGGGAAATTGAGTCCGAGTGGGCCATGTTCCACACTTCTATTGTCGAGGCAGCTTATCAGAGCTGTGGCCGCAAGGTTGTTGGTGCCTGTCGAAGCAGTAACCCTTGAACCCAGCGGTGGACACTGATGGTGAGGGATGTTGTCAGACAGCAGAACGAGTTCAATCGGGCCTTTTTGGCTTGTGGGACCCCGGAAGCAGCTGATGGGTACAAGCAGTCCAAGCGACATGCGGCTCGGGTGGTCGCTGAGGCAAAAACTCGGGTATGGGAGGAGTTCGGAGAGGCCATGGAGAATGACTTCCGTACGGCTTTGAGGCGATTCTGGTCCACCATCCGGTGTCTCGGGGAGAAAGCGGCACACCACCAACACTATTTATAGTGGAGGTGGTGTAGTGTGTCAAGGTCAGCTTGGCTGTACCCTCACTACAATTATATTTAAATAACAAGTTCTCTCTTTTTCGAGCTAATTACAGCCATGTGACAGAAGTAACTGTGCGTAGATGGTTTAATCAGTGACATGAGACGTTAATTGTCTTTGACTCATCATAATAAATGTGGTCATTTATTGAACAGAATCAAAATTTAACATCAAAACATTGTACACTTGATTAGCTGATCTGGTTCGGATTAATAAAACTTGGCACGTTTTACTTAATAAAAACAACAGACATTTCTGAAGGCCTCTAGATTAATTACTGGCAAAATAGAAAAGTTTAAAGATGGGAAAATGGAGTAGTTTAAAGGGAGATGTTTGAAGGAAGATGTATGTCTGTGTACCAGAACAGCACGCTCCTTTTAAACTCAGCTCACCCTCGGTCCACTTAGTGCGTGAAGCTCGTGACGACTCTTTACCTTGGCAGAGGATGGGTCCGCTACGGTCAAGAGGTCCCTGGCACTCTACCTTTCAGCGTCTCCTCAGGGCAGCTGCGACTCGGCAGAAGTCATGAGATACTCCGTTCAACAGAACAAACTTCCTCAGAAGTTGTAGGGCATTCGCCGGGTGAAGTCACAGCGAGGTGCCGTGACTCCTGCAGAGATGGATGGCTCCATCAGACTGGAAAACTGAGTCCGAAGTTCCACCCATCAGTGGAAATACTCCACTGGATTCCAGGAAGACTTCAGACGACTCCAGAACTCTACAGAACTGCTAGAACTGAACCCTAGAACTGAATAGTTCCAGGAAGTGTCGACTTTTAAAGAGTTCTGCTTCCGGTCACTTTAGTACGTCCTGATTGGTTGAAGCAACCAACAGGGGGGTGGTTCTAGTGATGTCAGAGGGTCATTATAAGTCAAGAAAACAGCAGGAATGTTTTGAGAACGGTTAGTTACAGATGAGAAAATATTTTGGAGAAATTACAGACTTACAGGTGCCAGTTTTCTTATTTACTGTCTGAGAGTTTTAAAAACATGACACTTCGTTTCAATAACTTCCCTCTGACTTTCGACTGACATCACTACTTCTCATTTAGACAGAAGATCAAAAATGCATAATTACTTTGTAAAATAGACATTTTAACTTGATTTCTAATTCAAATGAGCATTAAAAAAATCATTAATACTGTTTCACAGTTGATTTAAAATGAGTGGTTCACTTCAACATTTAGAAATGGTATGAACTAAACACACTTTTGATTTATCAAGATATTGTAAAATAGTAATGATAATATAAAAGAAGAGTGTTTTTTCAATTGATTACTTCAGGATACAATTAGACAGTCTCTGGATGAGCTAATTTGTATTTCTGGATTCAAATCAATGAAATAACAGTTCCTGTCCCATGAAGGTCTTCAGAGGCAGGTTTTGGTCGGAGGCCGAGTCCACTACAGTGGTGTTCTGCTGACCTCAATTCATGATGTCGTGGGTCGGTAGACAGAATACTTCAAAGACCTCCTCAATCCCACCGGCACATCTTCCATTGAGGAAGCGGAACCTGGGGACTTTGGGTCGGGCTCTCCAATCTCTGGTGCTGAGGTCACCGAGGTGGTTAAAAATCTCCTCGGTGACAGGGACCTGGGGGTGGATGAGATTCGCCTGGAGTTCCTTAAGGCTCTGGATGTTGTAGGGTTGTGTTGGCTTACACGACTCTGCAATATTACGTGGACATCGGGGGCAGTTCCCATGGATTGACAGACCGGGATGGTGCTCGCCCTATTCAAAAAGGGCAACTGTACAGTGTGTTCCAATTACAGGGGGATCATGCTCTTAAGCCTCTCTGGTAAGGTCTATTCAGGGGTTCTGGAGAGGAGGGTCCGTCGAATAGTTGAACCTTGGTTTCAGGAGGAGCAGTGCAGTTTTCGTTCTGGTCATGGAACACTGGACCAGCTCTACACCCTCAGTAGGTTCTGGAGGGTGAGTGGGACTTTGCCCAACCAGTCTAAATGTGCTTTGTGGACTTGGAGAAGGCGTTTGATCGTATCCTGAAGGAGTACTCTGGGAGTATGGGGTACCAGGCCCTTTGATACGGGCTGTTAGGTCCCTGTACGATCTGTGTCAGAACTTGATACGCATAGCCAGCAATAAGTCGGACCCGTTCCCAGTGAGAGTTGGACTCCGCCAAGGTTGCCCTTTGTCACCAATTCTGTTCATAACTTTTATGGACAGAATTTATAGGTGCAGCCAAGGTATTGAGGGTTTTCGTTTTGGTGGCCTTAGGATCGCTTCTCTGTTTTTTTGCAGATGATGTGGTCCTATTGGCTTCATCAGGTTGTGATCTACAGCTTTCGCTGGAGCGGTTCACAGCAGAGTGTGATGCGGCCGGGATGAGGATCAGTTCCTCCAAATCTAACGCCAAGGTCCTGAGCCGGAAAAGGGTAGAATGCCCTCTCCGGGTCGGGGAGGAGGTTCAGCCCCAAGTGGAGAAGTTTAAGTATCTTGGGATCTTGTTCACGAATGATGGAAAAAATGGAGCGGGAGATCGATAGGCAGATAGGTGCAGCATATGCAGGGAAGCGGGCGCTGTACAGGTCTGTCATGGTGAAGAGAGAGCTGAGTCAAAAGGTGGAGTTCTCAATTTACTGGTCGATCTATCTTCTTACCCTCATCCATAATCATGAGTTTTGGGTTATGACCGAAAGAACGAGATGCCGGATACAGGCAGCCGAAATGAGTTTTCTCCGCAGGATGTCTGGGCTCTTCCTTAGAGATAGGGTGAGAAGCTCGGTCATCCGGGAGTGACAGAGTAGAGCCGCTGCTTCTCCACGTCGAGTAGAGCCAGTTGAGGTGGCTCGGGTATCTGGTTAGGATGCCTCCTGGACGCCTCCCTGGTGAGGTGTTCCGATCACGTCCCACCGGGAAGAGACCCAGAGGAAGACCCAGGACACGCTGGAGGGACTATGTTTCTCGTCTGGCCTGGTAACGCCTCAGGATTCCCCTGGAGGAGCTGGACCAAGTGGCTGGGGAGAGGGAAGTCTGGGCCTCCCTACTTAGGCTGCTACCCCCGCGAGCCAACCCCGGATAAGCGGAAGAAAATGGATGGATGGATATATTCATTATATCATTCATTCAACCTTTATTTAGACAGGTTAATCCCATTGAGCCTCAATGACTCATTTACAAGAGAGACCTGATTTTAACAAAGAGTAATGACAACAGTGGACAACAACGACAACAATAGACAATCATAAAAGAGGTATACAATTTTTTTTTACAAATTAAAATAAGATGGCAAAAAAGTAGCAAAAAACAGCTAGATTATAAGGCAAATGTAGAAAACTAAAAACAGGAACATGTCTGCATTGGTTCTTGCCAGAAGTCTAACAGATGCTTAAAGTCACTTAAGACAGGTCAAGGCAGAGAGCTTCAGATCTTTTTGCAAGATATTCCAGGAAACAGGAACAGAGTAAGAGAAGGCCCTTTTGTCTAGTTCAGTCCTCACTGAGCACAGTTCACATTACTGACTCACCTGTGCCATGACTCTGAAATGGCTGTTTGAAGAACACCACCACACCATAAATGTTCACAACAGACCCATCCTTCAAATCATCCAGCTTCACATACGTGTACTTTGGAGCCTTGCTCACCCTGGTAACCTGCAGAGAAACAGAATAGTGTAGAGAAGCAGTAATCTAGACTCAGACTTCATCATACAAACAAATGCATATCTGGAAAAAAGAACAAAAAAATGTTTGCAATTAAAACCTTAATCGTAAACTATAACCCTGAAGAAAAAGGTTGTAAGCTCAATCATCCAGGTAGATAATAATAAAAAATGTTAAACTGCGTCATCCGGACCAGTTTCTTTGAGAAACATTTGATCCCCTGGGTCTGTCCAAGTCCTCTGGATGGGGAAAGAAACGTTTGTCACTTAAAGAAACTGGTCCAGATGACACGATTTAACCTTCTTTTGGTTGTAACCCTGAACGTTTTAGACAGAGCAGACAGCGTCCCCACTAGCTCAGGAGCCAGGCAGAAGGAG